GTGTGCCTTGGCAGTCGCACACTAAAGAGTGACGCACACAGCTGGGAGACCAGGGGACACTAAAGAGTGACGCACACAGCTGGGAGACCAGGGGAAACTAAAGAGTGACACACACAGCTGGGAGACCATGGGATGCTAAAGAGTGACCCACACAGCTGGGAGACCAGGGGACACTAAAGAGTGACACACACAGCTGGGAGACCATGGGACACTAAAAAGTGACGCACACAGCTGGGAGACCAGGGGACACTAGGGAGACCAGGGGACACTAAAGAGTGACGCACACAGCTGGGACCGGAGCGCTTGGTGACGTTCAGGATTATTAAGCTGAACAACTGTCTCTGTTGTTCGAAACTCACCTAAAATGTAAGTTTTATCCGCTTATTTTAACAATGTGGTCACATGATTCCTTCCGATATTATAGCAGATCTGCTGTAAGCTAGCTAGCTAACGTAGCTTATCTTCTTGCAGCTTATTCTATTTACAGCTTTTTGTCTTTGCAGCACTTTTAGTGAAAAGGTCTTCCAATGGAAATGTTTTTGCATCTGTCGGCCACTGTAAATCTACGAGCGGAGTTGTTGCGTAACTTTGGTTAACGGCAGTAGCTACAGACTCAAATTGTTCAATAAGAAATGCATGATATGTTTGACGGTAAAATGAAGACATGTGCTTCTTTGAACTGATTGCAGACATGGCAGACATGCGTAATGTTTTGAAAGGTGTGTTTTTTCTTTAGAGCCACGCCCTTTTTTGCACAGTATATGTATCATAACCTAGGTGTATTTCTAAGGCTGTGTGAAAACCATGGATTTATTATAAATAGATAAAAACAAAACCACAGCTCAGTCTTGTTTCAAAATGTTTTCCATTGGCTAGTCGCAAGATTGTCAAAAAAAATCACCTTTTTTTGTATTTTTTCAACACAGAAAAAGGACTTATCTGATATATAATTAAATAAATGTTTGGTGCAAAACAAGCACTTTCCCATTTGATGGAACACCTTTATTGGGTCCTGTATGCAATTATTATAAAAGATTATTGGTTAAAACCTACATCAGAACTGCATTTAAAAATTCCCCGACAATTTCTATACCCAATTTCTGTACATTGTGATAAGATATTATGCTATTTGATGTGTTTTCTGCACTCAAATATAAGCAAAAACTAAGAGAAATGCATTCTCTTATAAAAAGTTTACCCTGATTCAACTCAAAACCTGATTTCATCGTAATGTGGTCATAATACATATATTGTCTAGCTTGCTAACTGTCAAGAAAGGGGATACAATGGTTGCCATAATAGTTCAAACAAACATCTAACAAACCTTAAAAATCATTGATATTTCACGAAAGCTTTCCTGGGTCGTTATAATTCACCGTTATTATTTTTGGTCGCCAACCAAAAAAACTACTTGCACATTAATTTATTTTTAATCAGAGATGTGTTTCTGTTGTCCCAACACATCAAAACAGCAAGAGCATTACAACATTTCTCACCTAATTACAGTGTGATTTAATTACATTAATAATTGTTCTTGGGTATTTTTCTTACCTTCAATTCTGTTTAGATTACAGCAGCCTTTTCCCCTGTTGATGTGCAGTCAGTGAAGTCTGTCACGTTAGTTCCTCCAAGAAATGTGCCAAATCTGTCATGTAAAAATGTGTCCTGAAGAGTTTGTTCAGGAAAACTATTTATACCACGTCAGGCTAAAAGTGATGGGGGGTGTAACTTCCCTAAAACATCCAGAACAAGTCTGTCAGGATAATGCAACAGAATATTGCACAACCGATAAAACTGTTTTCACACGCTTTTCCTCCAGTGTCGAGTGTCGCTTGTCTTGCCAAAAAACTCAATGTAGTTTGATGCATTTTCCCGGAATTAGAATATAGCAAAGTTCAATATTATTGCACAATGTGTAATAGTAAAGCTGAAGGTCTATTACCTCTGTTTTTATGGTTATTTTTGGTAGATAGTTCCACATAAATGAATCACCTTTCCATGGTAGCTGATGCAAGGTCAATAATTATGTGCAGAGGTGGGAGAAGTACTCACACCCTCTACTTAAGTAAAAGTAGGAGTACTCACACCCTCTACTTAAGTAAAAGTAGAAGTACTCACACCCTCTACTTAAGTAAAAGTAGAAGTACTCACAACCTCAACTTAAGTAAAAGTAGAAGTACTCACACCCTCTACTTAAGTAAAAGTAGAAGTACTCACACCCTCTACTTAAGTAAAAGTAGAAGTACTCACACCCTCAACTTAAGTAAAAGTAGAAGTACTCACACCCTCAACTTAAGTAAAAGTAGAAGTACTCACACCCTCAACTTAAGTAAAAGTAGAAGTACTCACGCCCTCTACTTAAGTAAAAGTAGAAGTACTTACACCCTCTACTTAAGTAAAAGTAGAAGTACTCACAACCTCAACTTAAGTAAAAGTAGAAGTACTCACACCCTCTACTTAAGTAAAAGTAGAAGTACTCACGCCCTCTACTTAAGTAAAAGTAGAAGTACTCAC